CATATACTCTCTTTAATTATTTCTAATAAAAAACTGACAGATCTACCCAAAGAGAGAATGAGCGAAAGATGGATGGCAACTGCATAGAAAGCTCTCTTTTTATGCACTTAGTACCTAGTAGGTTTTATTAGCTGAAGCTGGGAACCTTTTAAACAATAAATTATGTACAATCTGGTAACAGCCTGGGGATCCCAAAATTCGTTACATGCAGATAAACTAGCGGCACTCGGGGCTTGTGCGACCTGATGACAGGTTTTAAAAATAGATCGCAGATCAAATGAAAAAAATATTTAAATTTTTGAAAGTATGACCATCATCTTATAACATAGTGGGAAGAGTAGCTGAGCAAAGCACATCTCATAACTATAAGTTATGAGCGTGATCTGAAACCCCTTGTTTCTGGATTTTATGACGATAGGATGAGCAGGAAAAGAGTTAGCCTAGACTAACCTTCTATTCGAGAAACATCCATTTCCCAGAAAATAGATGACGTCCTTGCAAGGAAACACCCATTTTCTCAGGAAAACGATAGAGTTCTTGTGAAGCATACTCGACCTTCCGAGGAAAAAACTGAAGATTTTGTAAAAAACGTTGCGTTTGCCTGGAAAGCAGTCGGCCTTCTTGCTAAGAAACATTCATTTTCCCAACACAAAGTTCTGGCGAACCCTAGACTTTCGCAGGCAAAAAGATGTAGTTCTTGTGAAAAACAGATTGGTTGCCAGGAAAGGAGACGGCCTTCTTACAACGAAACATCCATTTTCTCAGGAAAAAAGTCTTGCGTAATAACATTAAATTATGAGAAAAGATGAAGTTCTTTTTCTGAAGAAACATAATTTCTCAGAAAACTAGTCCAAGATGAGGAGCACATGGGTCAACATCAAAAAGCTCAAAAATATTTTGAAAATGTATTACGTCAAAAACTGGTAATAGTAAAACATGAAGACACCCGCAGACAGCATGTCTGAATGTCTGTGGGTCTTTATGTTTTACTATTACCCCATCAAAATGAATGACGAAGTAGCTTGTATTTATCATAATATTGGAAGAGCGTATCAGTTAAAAAATGAGTACGAAAGAGCAATTGATAATTATAAAAAATCGTTTGAGATGCATACCAGTACTCGACCACCTCGATTCTTGAATGCTGCTAAATCATTAAATGGTATCGGTGTTGTTTATAATGAAATAACGGCATATTATAAGGCATTGGAATATTTAATAAAGCCTCAAATATGTATCAGAAAAGCTTACAAAATGAACACATTGATATAGCTGGAACATTAAATAACGCTGGAAATGCTTATCATTGGAAAGAAGAATTTAATATAGTTTCAGAATATTTAAGAAGAGCCAGAATATTTAAAAAGGGTCAAAATATTAATGGAAAAATTTAGCCACACGATCATCTAAATATTTCACAAACATATAATATTACTGGTCATGTTTATTATGCGACACGAGACTATCAACGAGCTTTAGAGACTTATACAAAAGTTGTTACAATGAATAAGAAAATTTTATCTTTAGACCGTACGGATATGGCACATTGTTAATAGAATTTGGGAGTTGTTCATTACAATATGAAAAAATTATGAACAAGCATTGGGTTTTTTCGCAAAAGCATAAGAAATAGTTGGAAAGAACTTCCCACAGGAGCATTTGTCACTGGCCTACAACAACACACTCAGATTATTAACAAATATAATGAAAGCATTTTCTAACAGCTTTTTTATATAGAAAATCGACTTGAATTTCCATAAATTCGATTTTCTATAAAGGTGAATAATGTCAGCAAAAATTGACTTTCGCAGGCAAAAAGATGTAGTTCTTGTGAAAAACAGGTTGGTTTAAGAATATCGAAAAGAAAAGAATTAGATATTTGGCCTGGAAATCGAACACAAATTGGACAAACAGAATTTAAAGATCAACTAATCAGTAAATATGAGTGCGGTCATTCTAATCGAAATACTATTAAAGGCATGGTGCTGAATGCATATTTTCGTCGTGATGTTGTTCGGGCTAGCCACATATGGAAATATTGTACTCATGGTGCAGGTTTAACCGAATTTGGGTTACGTTACAGTGATTTAGACAGTTATAGAAATGGATTACTAATGTATACGAGTATTGAACAAGCATTTGATCGAAAAGAATTATGCTTTCTTTATAATCCATTTCAAGGAAATTTGGTATTAAAAATCTTACATAATGGAATACTATGGTTTTAGATAAAGATGATCAAAAATTGTATAAAAACTACACGCAATTCAAAGATATTGATGGAAAACCGTTGAATTTACCGCAAAATATTTATCCCTTTCGACGATTGTTGAACTGGCATGCACGATGTGCTCACGAATACGCAAAAACAAAGAAATGGATACTGGAAAGTGACAATTTTGACGATTTTTATGATTTATCCGATTTAGTATCTCTCCCGGGCGATGATTTAAACGAAGAAGAAATTGATAAATAAAGATATCAATGCATGTATTCAATCGCCTTGCCATTCACATGCCGTATGTATATCAACTATCGAAATGAAACTTCAACTCTCACACCTTGTGTCATATTGTCAACCATTTCTAAATTCAAATAAAAAAATTTGTCTAGTGTTAACTTTAACTTTTTTTAATCTGAAAACACATGTATCTTTCCTTGAAATAAAAGTGATTAAATATACTGCAAAAAACGTTTATGTGAAATAAAAATTGAATCAATATTCTTGAGGGTGAGGGTTATGGTTTTATCTTCACCCACCCTGAAGATTATTTCTCTTTGCATTCAGTTTATTCTGATTCGTACTGAATTCGTCCGCGCCGACGTGCTACTTCTTTCTGTAATGATAAGTAATGCATCAATGATTCATGCACACTTTGTTTTTGAATTTTGAAGTTGCTGTGCTGCCAAATGTTTCGCTAATTTGGTATCACTTCTTTGATTTGATTGATTTGAAATTGATGATTATTACAATTTACAATTTTCTAGCTTTTCGGCTTTCTTTCTTGCTTCCGATATTCTTGCGCTGAAAAATTTTATTCAACTCTAAAAGGAGATTTCACAGCATCTTCTGATATTAACTCCAAAAAATAGGAACCTAATTGAATACGTCCTGGAAAAACTGAGCGCAGTTAGTAGGGTATTCTTTGCATTGTTACATTATTTATACTTAACCTCAAATCTTTTAAAGTCTTTGTAACAGGAAAAAAGACTATTGATTGTTTTAGTGTATATACCGGATTGACGGAAAAGACAGAAAACAAAAACAGCGAAAAGGAAAACGTAGAAAGGAAAATGTAGATAAAAGTTTAAAGATAAATATCGAGAGAAAATATATGAGAAGAATCAAAAACCTGAACAACAGAGGTGGTGGCAGGGGTGGCGTGAGCCACTCGACAACATTCTAGCGGTGAAACCACAAAAAATTGAGGTTTTTAGTTGATACCAGCAAAGTCAATATAAGATCAGAGTTGTAGTTTATGGCTGATTACAAAAGGAATTATCATTAGTGCTAATATTTTTGAACCAAAAATGACAATCTTGAAAAAGTTCGACTTTTGTCGAAAACGTTTCTTAAGAAAAGAAAAAAGAAAAAACGCGGAGCAACCCAGGATCGGTTTCGACCTTGCTCAAGGGTCTCTTCAGCTAGGTTATGGTGTGAAATACCATTTGTAGCTAATATTATTACAACAGTTTCATTTTCGACATTTTCCTTTCTACTTTTTCCTTTTTTCTATTTTCCCCATTCGACAGCCTGAATTTCTCTATTTTCCAGTTCGACATTTTCCTCTTCGGCATTTTCCTGATTTTTTTTCGACGTTTTCCTATTCGATGTTTTCCTTTTCTGCGTTTTCCACCAAGCCCGTATATACTTCCAAACTAACTTTTCCATAAAAAAATGTTCCATTTAATCTTTGACTAGAAGAGTTGTTTTTATTACACAATCGATTAAGCGATTTGAACGATCCTGTTTTGCTTGCCAACTAAATATACCTCCAAGATAATTATCAACTACATATCTTGTTTTGATTTCCACCGATTTACAATCTTCATATGATATCTAAATGGAATGCTTCCATTTAAATTCGATAATAACGGGTTGACTACTAGTAGTATAACATGATCACTTTTCATGAGCGTTTTTTCTCTAAACGAATTCTTTTTGTAAAGGAAAGCTTTTGAAATTCTATACAATCGTATAAAATTGATTATTACAGTTTAGTATTCCAGACAGGCTAATGTCACGAGCGATGCGGACTAACAGACAAAACTTATCCATAGGTTTTTTTTTATTAAATAAGTACGGAACCTGAGATCGATGATCCCAATAATGTTTATATTCATTTTTTTAAAGATTTTCAATTATATCATCGTGTGTGAACATTCTCGCATCATTTGGATCTAAACAAAGAAAAATTGAAAATTTTCCATTTTGAAACATAGTAACAGATTGTTGTCATCGTCAGTTCGTAGTTTTCCTCACTAGTTTTTCAAAATGAAACTTTGATTCGTGTAGTATCGACTGAAATACGTAATACAAGTTTGTTTTTGTGATTTAATTTTTACTATTTGAACATTGATTTGTAATAAAGAGAAACGGCTACGAATAGGGCGAAAAGAATTATCTCTTCATTTTGTACGAACAAATAGTGAGACATATTGAAAGGATGTCCATTGTGCATTTTTCACAATCACAAAATTATATTCAAACGATGTATACTTTTCGTCCTTTTAAAATAGAGAACGAAAAAAATGTCATTTTGATCATACGTCCCTTAAAAAAGACTGCAACTGCAATTTTAACAACTGCTTCTGATAAAATGTAGTTTAACTATCCTCCTGGCCGTAAGTTGAACTATTTACAGCGTATATTCTACGCAGAATGGCAAACAGTGGGTCTTCTCTTATGACATTACTTCGTAGAAAAGAACCTGGTTGACACAAGCGATCACTGGACACATCGGATCAACCAAACCCATAGAACGGAATTCCAAACACAATTTTATCCTTTGGAACATATTTTAAATATTCTGTTATTGACAGATTGCAACTGTGATTGTCATGATTATTTGAGTATAAAGCTGATATATGATTCGTGTGTGTTGAATTAACTTAAAGAAAAAAGAGAAGTTACACAAATTTGCCGTTTGTAAAAAATCAATATTTCCGTTATACTGGATTTTTGCTGCATTATATTGTGATGTGCTGACAACGGCTCAAGCAAAAAGAAGTCTATTAGCCAGCTCAATCTAAATAAAGCGATAGCTAAATATAACACTTTACTACTACCCACTTCAAATTATAAGTCCAGTGGTTGTTTTTTGAATAACTCGAGAACAAAAAGCGGCCGAGATTTGTGGTTCTTACCACTCAATAGATAAAACTTTAAAGCATCTTTTCGTAAGCAAAACGTTTTCAAAATTCTTTTTTACGAAAAATTGGTTTCCTAGAAGATTTCTCGAAAACTCTTTCGATTCCTGAAAATTTATAGAAAGGCTATTGATTGCTTTACTTTTCCATCTAGCGAACATTTCGGACCGATATGTGTATTCATCTATATGTTTTTATGAAACTTGAACGTCTATACAGTCTCCGAGTCTAAATTTCGTACATGACTAAAAGTAAAGCGAAAAAAATCAGTATATGTATTATATTTATGAAGTCAGATAGGTCCTCCTACCCAAGTAATTATTCGACTGAACACAACTTTAGCGTAGAGAAACAACTCACGCTTTAAGTTAGATAAAACTTAAAAACTGATTTACTAAGACCGTTCATCTCATTTAATAATATAAGCACTAACTTCTTTTTTTTTGCTGGGGTGACAGTTAAACCATAGAAAACCATAGAAAAATTCAGCTTCTAATCACTTATGCTAACTCAGTTATAGAACTGCTACTATTCTCAGCCATTATAGGGTAGAAAAACTGAAAAGATTCGATACCTTTTAAAAGAAGCATCATGGAGAAAAATCCTTTTAGAGGTTTTTACTGGCTCACAATACTCTATCGACCAGCATATAAAAGATTGAAAACGGAGTTGGGAATCTCAAGAGCTTCCGTCGTTTGGTGGGGTATGGCTTCCTTGGCTAGGCTACTACAAGACAGAAATTTTCCGGATGCGTGTCATTGCACACTTATACATTGTTCACCTTTGATTCAATCCAACGCAGAACAAAGCAAAGCACTTTTTTCTTCCACACACTATACAGCGTATACTTTGTTTTTTCAGCAAAGTATAAAAGAAAGTGTATTTTCAACATCAAAGTTACATTATGTACTTTGTTATCTATCATTACATACACTAACTACCAGTCTATAAGTTTGTTGCCAGAGATCTCCTTTTGATAAAGAGTACTTCGATGAAATATCACTTAATAATTTGTCGCTGTTCTCTGTAGATAATACAATCTCCAA